AAGAGCCATTGGGCTTAGAGGCAAGAGGGCTTGGGCTTGAATTTCAGCTCTGCCACTCACCAACTGTGTGACTGGCCAACGCATTTAACCTTTGTGAGCTTCATGTAACCTGGGCAATCATGCTACCTGCTGTACCTAACTAATCCTATCACTGTGAATTAAATGAACTAACGAAGGGAACTGTGGTGTGGACCTCAAGGCCACCACAATGGGGGTAGAGGAGAGAGAAAGGAACAAAATTATTGCAAGGAGCTACCAGATCTATAAACAAACAACTTCTCTAAAACGAATATAAACAGCCTACATATTGGTAATACTTCTTTGCAAATGTTACGTATCTGCTGTTGAGGTTAGTCACATTTATTTAGAAAGGTCACTGAATTTATGGGATCATTTTGTTATATATTTTTCTCAATTATTGGATCCTAACAGTACAACTACTCTCATGGGGAGGGCTGTGAGATTTTTTATGCTAAAAAGGAACCTTCATATTCTAGGGCTAGGTGCGTCTGACTTGGAGCCTGGAAGATGTGGGTTCAGATTCTTACTCATAGGCTTTCTTGCTTGCTGTCCTGGGAAGGTCATTTAGTTTCTCTGAGTTTTTCTTCTCTATAAAAAGGAAATGATGATACTTGTATTACTTACCTCACGGATTTGTAAGGAAAGTGCTGTGGAAATCGAAAAAGCAGTAAAGAAAAAGAGTTACTTAATGCTTAATGAACATAAACAATACCAATTGTTAGGGCTCTGTTGGGCAGCTAGAGTGCCAGTTCTGGAGTCAGGAAGACTCATCTTCCTGAGTTCTGATCTGGCCTCAGACACTTACTATGTGATCCTGGGCAGCTCAACCCTATTTGCCTCAGTTTCCTCATCTGTAAAATCAGCTGGTGAAGGAGATGGCAAACAGCTCCAATATCTCTGCCAAAAAAACCCAAAAAGTGGTCATGAAGAGTAAGACATGACTGAAACAACTGAACAACAACAAAGGATTCTATTGCTCCTGTTTTGTCCTTTGGTTGGTTTTCCTGTCTCAGATCTCTCTCTGCTGCAGTCCATCCTTCACTCAGCTGTCAGATTGATCTTCCTAAAGTTCAGATCTGACCATGCCAGGACCTCCCTCTCCTCTGCTTCAGTAAACTCCAGTGGCTCCCTATTATTTCCAGGATCAAATATAAAATGCTTTGTTTGCTTTTAAAACCTTTTACATCCTGCCCCTTTCCTACCTTTCCAGTTTTCTCACACCTCATTCCCCCTCTATTTCCTTCCTTCCTTCCTTCCTTCCTTCCTTCCTTCCTTCCTTCCTTCCTTCCTTCCTTCCTTCCTTCCTTCCTTCCTTCCTTCCTTCCTTCCTTCCCCAACGCTTAGCACAGTGCCTGGCACAGTGTGGTGCTTCATCATTGCTTTTGACTTGATTGAGTTATTGCCTCATATTACCTTGCAAAGCCCTTTACAAATATTATCTCATTTGATCCTCACAACTCCCCTGTGAGGTTGGTGCTATCATTATCATCTCCATTTTACAGGTGAGGAAAACTAAGGAAGATAAAGGCTAAATGCCTCAGCCAGGGTCACACAACTAGTAAGGGTCTGAAGCAGAATTCCGACTCAGGTCTTCCTGGCTCTAGGTCCAGTGCTGGGTGTGCTGTACCACTTAGCTGACTTACATGGATCAACTCAGGGGAGCACTTCTTTCCTTAATCCAGTCCCCACCATTTGAAAAATTTTAAGTCAGGCTCAGGACCCATGATTTGGATGGAGTAAAAACCTCTAGTAAGGTCTTCCTCTGCAAGTGATCACCTGTTTACGTGCAGATAAAGAAGACCCAATCGAATCAAGATTTTTCACAAGCTCCGAGAATGTTAAGAATATCTATTAAAATGTCTTCAGTAAGTCCCAAAGTTACACAGAATGTTAAAGTATATCTTTAGATTTGACATATATGAAATGTAAACATGGATAAAATGTGTACATTTTACTTATAGTTGTTTATATATACACACACGCAAATCAGCCAGAAGGGCTGTTGAAGTTCCCTGGCTCTGGGCCTCAGACACCACTGCAAACACCCCCATATCAGTGGAGGGTGCTGCTCCCAGTTTCCCAGAGATGTAACCTTGGAGTCATTCATCCTTGACTTTTCATCTTCTTTATCTGTCCCCCATATTCAGCCAGTCATGACAGGTCCTGTCAGTTCGAATTCCATAACACCTCATATTTATCCTCTTTTCTCAACTTGCTCAGCTACTACCATTGTTGAGGTCCTTATCTCTCACCTGTACTGTTTGTTCTGCTTTGCCTCCTAATTGGTCTGCATGCTTCTAGTTTCTCTTCATTCCAACTCATTCTATACAGTGCTGCCACTGTATAGATCATCCTACCCCCTGCTAAACCTTCTGTAGCTCCCTATTCTAGGGTAAAATACAAACTCAAGTTGGTGATTAAGGCTCTCTACAAGTTGGTCCCTACCTGCCTTTCTACCCTTATTATTTTTATTTTTTGCAAAGCAATCAGGATTAAGTGACTTGCCCAGGGTCACACAGCTAGTAAGTGTCAGGTGTCTGAAACCGGCTTTGAATTCAGATCCTCCTGACTCCAGGGTCTACCCTTATTTTTACCTCTTTCCTTCACGAACCCCTTGTCTGAGCCAAACTGAAATACCTGAATTCTGCTGGTAACTTTGCCTTCCTGTATTCACACAGGTAGTTCACTTTTTCTACTGTTTCTCACGTGGTTAGTGGCTCTTTCCTCTACTCTGTTTACATTTTAATATTCTTCATTTGTATACATGTCATTTCCTTCTCTCTTTCCTTGTAAGCTTTTTGGACAGTTTTTTGTTTTTATCTGTCCCTAGCAGTTAGGGATAATACCTTGCATATACCTGCAAGAGGTACCTGCTTCACTTAAATCCATTTCACACAAGTCAGGACAGTACCCTCAAGATGTCTTTTGTCCTTTTCAAAAATGAAGGACAAATTTAAGAAACAACTTAATATTGCCTCTGTTGTCTATCTATAGCTACATACACACACACATATATATGTATAAATAAAATTTCATTTACAGTTGTCTAACTCTTGACTTTTTATTCCCTTCCACTAGCCCTGATTTCAAATTAGTGAGATATTACTATGTTGAATAGAGACCAACTTCCTACCAAGTTTCTATAGTTTATACAACCCAAAGAAAATGTAATTTCATCACCTGACCACCTCTGCTTTCTATATTATTATTAATTATTATTGTTATTGATGATATGTGTATATTCAACTTTATATGGCTCTCATCCTTCCTAAAACTTTCTGTTCTTAGTATGTTTCGAGCTTTGTCCCCCAACCCACTCTTATTAAAAACAAAAATTAATATTAACCTTTGAGAGTTATCAGGACAAAGAAGTGTAGTCAATTTGAAAATTTAATCTCTTTGAGAAGAACTAGGATGGCATTTAAGACAATAACAGGAACTTCGGAATTGTTGGCTGCCGGAGGTAAGAGGTGAGAAGAGGTGAGGATGCTGAATTCTTTCACTGTCAATTATTTATGCTTAGAGAGAATAGCTCTTATTGTGGAAGCTTTTGCTCACCCTGCTTTGTGCCCAAAGCAGGCTGGTTGTGACTTGGTTGATTATGTGGACTTTGGCCACATTGTTGTCGCTGATGTAGGGAGACGGGCAGGAATGAAGCTAAAAGTTGCCAGCATGTCCAAGTCCCTCTTCTTTTCTCCCTCCTCCTCCTTAGACATTTGAAATGTTGATTCTAGAGACCTGTGGTTATAGAGGTATGAGGGCTTTCTGGCGTTTTAGATATTTAAAGGCTAGGGGAGTGGAACCCGATCATGAAGGCTGCTGGCTTACTTTCTCTTCTTTCCATGGGTATTTGGGGGTGGAGGGAAGAAGACTGGATGATGAATTAGAGGGGTCTAATTCTGAAATGCCAATGACTCTTGGCATGCTTTCCTCTTTGCTCCTTAGACCCCACGTCTCCTCCAGCAGAATTTATTTGTCTAGGCCTCTCTTCTGCTTCATTACCCTTTCTTCCCACCCCCATCCAAATCCCAAATGGCTTCTATTATAATGCATAAAATTTGGGGACCTCTGCTATATAAGGTATTTAGGGCCTATGATAAATATCCTGTTTTATCTAATTATTAAGAAATGAGAAAAATTGCTTCCTTGTAACAATAATATTGGGAACCAGTGTTGAAGGCTTAACCCAGTTGACTAATGGAATATCTTTAAAAAAAAAAAGCCCTCCTCCCCCCAAATAACAAGCATTTATTTCTCCTCTTCTGTATTCTATTTGAAGGAAAAAATAAAAAAAAAACAAAACCTTTGTAGCAAATGTACATAGTGAAAGAAAGCCATTTCTTATGTTATGTTTCATTTTGCTTATTAAATCCATTGCCTCTTTGTCAGGCTGTGGGTGATATTTTTCATCACCAGTCCTTTGGAATCATGATTAGCCATTGCATCAATCAGTTATAAGTTCTCAAGTCTTCCGAAATTGTTTTTACCAACATTACCTAACTTCATATCTAACAGGAGCTTATGATGTAGTTGATTTGAAAGAGAAATAGGAGAAGAGATTAGAGGAGAAAAACTGTTTGTATTCAATGGTGCATACAGAAATATTTGGGTGAAAAAGTGTTCCTTTTTCCCCTTGAGACAATTTTGGAAATCTTCAGTATGTCAGATCTTTTCTATATAGCAATAAGTTTTCCAGGTTATTATTAACATTAATGATTAGCTTTTGAGATTAATGTTTTAGTCAAGTAAACTAAAGCACACACACATACACAAACAGCCTGTTACCGTGTAGCAGACATTTGTTGGGAATTTTTTGAACTGTGTGTAACTAGTTTAACCAGTTCATGTTGCCAAGCTAAACATTCTCTTGCTGGGCCATAATGTGTACTATTGTTGAACCATGTTATAAACTTTTAAACTTAAAATGATCCAAGATGACATTTGTCTACAGTTGCAGGCATATGGTCATCTTAAAAGAATTGGGCCATTGCATTTGAAACAACTGGCGAAGTTTGTGGAGCTCAGGAACATTTAGAAATCCAGGTGGAAGTCTTTCCTTTAAGGATTCCAAATGGTGCTGGGCTGCAGGTAAAAATGAGAGCTGAAGTCTTGTTGAAACACATTTCTAAAACTGATATAGAAGTAATCGTCTTAGAAGAAATAGATTGTAAGGGCAGGTCTTATATAACATCATGTGGTACAAAGAGGGCTGGTCTTGGAATCAGGAAAGCTGGGTTTGCATCTGGGTAGATAGTAAGTGCTTAATGAAGGAATGCTTGTTGATTAATTATCCACCTCACAGGGTTTTTTATTTGTAATTTGTAAATGTAACTAGTGTTACATTTCTGAATAAGTGAGTTTGGAATTTACATAAACTTATCTTGTTAATCATAATAACTGGCATTTAAGTATTACTTTAAGATTTGAGATCTGTTTGTCAATATCATGTCATTTAATCCTCACAACATCCCTGAGAAACAGGTGCTGTTATTTCCCCTGTTTTATAGAAGAGGAAACTGAGGTTGAGGAAGGTTAAGTGTAACTAAGTGACTTGTCCCAAGTTACTAAGCTAGTAAGTATTTGGGTGAAAAGGTGTTCCTTTTTCTCTTTGAGCCAGTTTTGGAACTCTAGTACATCAAATCTTTTCTATGTAGAAATGAGGATTCCAGATCTTTATCAGCACATATATACAAACATGCATGTATATGTATAGATAGATGTATGTATATGTGTATATGTAACACACATATAAAATGATCATGGCACATAACTTAATCTCAGTGCTTTCCAGCGATTTTCTCCAGACTAGAAATTAAGAAAGGAATTGCTAGTCTCTGTCCATGGAGGGAGTTTCCCTACTGATGGGAGCTTCTCAGATTATAAAATGATGAGTCTAGGCCAAGAAAAAAAAAAGGTATAGTTTGCTTGAAGTTGCTTTCTCCAATTTTTTTCCTTGTAAGTAGTTTAAATATGATTTCTTGTAATCCATTAGGTTATTAATTTAATTAGCAAATTTCTTCAGAAAGTAAAATAGTCCAGGTCAAATTTATCACAAATTTGAAGTTAGTAGAGTACTAATCATAGAGATCTTACTGTATTTTTCAAGAAGATGGGGCAGCAAAAGCACAGAGGCTTGATGTATTCCAAGTTAGAAATGAACCTAGTTAACGTCTGATTTTGTTTTGTGTACTGTACCTAAGACTTTTTTACTTAGATATGTAAGTTTGGTCAAGCCTGTTAGTCAGGATGGCTTTATCCATTTTTTATATTCAGGCTCCTTGCTTTCTCTTGCCTCAGTGAGCTTCTATTCTACTTGAGTGGATAAGGAAGGATGAGGAGGGGACCTGTGATTTCATTGGTATAGGGAACTCCCAAGAGAGGAAACTCTAACAATGCAAGTCAGCAACTTCTTTGTAACTTACTATTTTAATTGTTCAGAGCACTGAGAAGTTAAGTGATTTGCCTGGAGATTGTATAATAGTATGCTTCTGAGAAGGGAGTAGAATTCTAGTCATCATCATCATCACGATTGAGCACTTTACAAACAGCTGTGGGAGGTAGGCACTATCATTATGCCTATTTTAGTCTGCCAGAATACTCTGGCTATAAAACTGTCTCTCTCCTATCTGGTACACTGCATGGCATGATTTCCCTGTATGATATTTTTTCTGAGAGGTATTGCCAGAGATTATATGAGTGGAAATCACTGAAGGGAATTTCAGTATAGCTTCAAAACACTTTAGTTCAGCAATAAAAAGAAAATGTTGACATTGTTTTTACCTAATACTTTTTTGCAATAATTAATGAAGGTTCTTAACCCCAATTGCCTCACCAGAAAAAGGGGAGGCAGCAAGGTGGTGCAGTGGATAGAGCATCGGCTCTGGAGTCAGAAGGACTTCAAATCCAGAGTTCAAATCCAGCCTCAGACACTTGACACTTACTAGCTGTGTGACCCTGGGCAAGTCACTTAACCCCATTGTCCAGCAAGAAAATAAAACAAAACAAAAATCCCCCAAATTAATAAGGACATTTAATGATGTGTGTAATAATCTATAGGAACAAAATTTTATGCTATTTTCTCTCAACTCATGTTTTGACATTGTTTATGTGAACTGCAAAAGAGACCCATGTTGGAGGTGACAGATTTTTGAGGGTGTTGAAGGCTCAATTTTCAAGGTGTCTGAAAGAGGAAAAGAAGGTGTGGAAAACAATCTTGAGCTTATTATCCAAAAAAGTTGAAAGAGCATATCATTATCTACTAGTCCATATGCCTGCTTTCCCAGCTGCATATGATATGTATGAGATTAAAATGCTGGTATCTAAAGGGCATGCTTGAGAGAATATTAAAAGGGAAGAGGCGTTAGCCTTTTGCAAGTGAAATTCTAGAGTAAATCACATCTTTACTATCACAGTAGTAAGTAGTGTAGCAATTATAAGATTCCACTGTGCTTTTTGTTTGTTGATTGTAAAAAAGCATTTGATTTGGTAGAAAAGAATGTTTGTTGTCTTAGAGTGTTGCCCCTGCCAGCAGTCCCTTATACGTCTATCAAAACCATACAAGATTCTTGAAGTGATGTAACAGAAGACTTTGTTCAACCCTTCATTCATTCATATCCTATGAGGCATAAAACAGGGATACATATGCTCTCCAGAGGTGTTCACTATTGTCATAGAGCAAATCCAGTGTAGGGTCCATGTTGAAAGAGTGATTCCCTATAGATGATGAAACCTTTCAAAGTCTCCTTTTTTGCAAATGATATTATATTGATTACATCAGACTGGGACACTGGAGGATCTCCTAAGCAAGATCTGTAGCTTTTCAAAAGAATTTGGTCAAGCTATCCAATCCAGGAAAACCAAATAGATAAAAAAAAAAAACCATCTTTTGTCCAGACTGATTTGCAGTGGGATGGGTAACCAGTGGGGTTTGTTCATTGGTATCACTATATCTTAGATCCTACAATTAGAGAAGGAGCTGGGCCCAGAATCGAAGAGGAGGAGGGTGGGCTGGATTGCCTCTGGGAAGTTGGCAGGTTCTTTTAATTACCTTAAGCTTCTCTCTGAAATAAAGGTCTGTTTTTTTAAGACCAATATTCTTCCAGTGATGTTGCCCTGGCTTTGAATTATGAAACTCTGCAGTCTTTGAAGAATTAAATTTGAAGATTACCCAAAAGCTGATGGTGGACTTGAACAAGCTACAACATATTTCAAAAAATTATGCAGGAGAATTGGTGTAAACACTACATTATAAAGAATATCATTAAAGAAATGAATAATCCGAAAAGAAGATGGGTCAGTCACCTGGCAAGAGCAAGGGATAATGGACAGCCCACTCAGAGGACACTGACATTGGCTCAGCATTTACCTCTGTCGTTTCTTCATGATTTGAAAATACAAGGAAAGTTCTCTCTGTTGGGTAGACTCCTCTTGGCAAAATTATGGAAGGTTGTGAAGAAAAATCACATAGGATAGGCATGGATTGGTTACATTATACATTGCTAGAGGGAATATCCACATTGATGTGATCATAGATCCATTATTTTGCTAGAGTATTACATGGTTGAACCAGAAAGGTAAATTATTAGTCTGGCATGAGCTGTTCTTGAGGAAACCACATAGACGCTTTGTGATCATTGTTTTATTTTGTAGAGCTTCATTAACTATCTCTTTAATAAAGTGTTCCAGAATTTCATCAAGAGTCAAAGTCAAGTTCGCTGTCCTACAGTTTGCAGATTCCATATTCTATTTTTTTTTAAATAGATTTGCCCTTCTCTCACTCCTGTGGTACTTCTCCATAGCCTTTCAGAGGACACTGACATTGGCTCAACATTCATCTCTGTCATTTCTTCCAAAACTCTGGAATTTAGTTTTTCTTGGACTGGTGACATAAACTCATCCATTTTACTCTTTTGTGGTCTAATGAAAAAGTCAAGCTTTGCTTCTTAACTGTTGTGTGATCTTGGGCAAATTGTTTGATCTCCCTTCCTGGGTTCCTCATGTTTAAAGTGAGGAGGTTGATGACCCCAAGGTCCCTTCAAATTGCAATTTTTGATCCTACAAAGGGCATCTAGGTGTCCTCTTAGTGCCCTCTTTGTCTTGGGTTTCAACTCCCTATTAACCATTCTTCTGGAGAAAGAACATGTAGGGAATATGAGAGCTGTGTGCAAGTAATTGAAAGGTTATCACATGGAAGACAGAATCAGATGTGTTCTATTTGGCCCCAAGGGTAGAACCAGAAGTAATGGCTAGCAGTTGTAGAGAGGAAAATTTTGATTTGATGTAAGGAAAACTTGCTAAAAACTAGAGCTTTCCCTAAGTGGAATGGGCTTCCCCAGGACATAGTAGGGTTCGCCCTTACCACAAGAGCAGGGATTCTTGACTGGGGGTAGTGTCCTTGAATGTGTATGTGTGTGTGTGTGTGTATGTGTGTATGTATATATGTGTGTATGTATATATGTGTATGTAATATGCACACATACACATACGTACACACATGTGTGTATATTGTATTTCAATATAATTGGTTTTCTTTGTAATTCTATATTGTATGCATTTACAAACATTCTGAGGAGTCCATAAGCTTTACTAGATTACTAAATCCTGTGACACACAAAAAAATTACCCCCCCCACCCCCAGATTAGAGGTTGGCCCAGGGAACTAATGACTTATTGGGTATACTGTAGAGGGAATTCTTGTTTTCTTGTAGGCAGGAGTAGATGATTTCAGAAATCTCTTCTGACTCCCGAGATCCGTGTTGAACCAGATAGCTCCTTTCAACTCTGATAGTCTGAATACTAGGTCTTAAGGAAAGGAAGAGTTTAACCCTACAAAGAGAGCTATCTGGATGGCATGTTTATTTATACATGTGTATTTGCCACAAGATTAATGTATCAAATACAGGTTGATGGATTTCACTGAAACAGCAGAAGTTGATGATACTTATTAGTTTCAAGGGTTTGAATTAATTAGCAATTATTTGAAATCTTTTTTTTTTAGAGTGAAGATACAAATTTTAATATTTTGGGAATATTGGGGAACTTTAATATCTGCTTATAATATCCACATAATAAAAATTACTTCCATGTTC